GGTTTATTAGGGAAGTAACAGGCTACCATTCAGGATCAGGAACGACTCAGGAGGCAGTTCTTTGATCAGGAGAGCCAGTCTTACCTGCTGGCAGGCCTCTCTTGGCCACTCTGTCCCTTGGGCCTCTTGGGCTGGCAGGTCCCTGCTTAGGCAAATGTTACAAAACATTTTAGTTCTACCAATAAGGGCTCAGAGTCCTGGTGTGGTGCTGTAGAATAAGCACTGGACTGCTAATCACAACGTCGGCAGTTTAAATCCATCAGCTGCTCCTTAGAAACCTATACAGGGTCTCTGGGAGTCAGAAATGGCTCAAGGGCACTTAACACCAATAAGGGCTAAGAGACATCCTTTTCTGCTCGTCAGCCTCAGCTCAAGGCGTCTAGCGTTCTAGCACCATTGATCGGCAAGTTTAGCTTCATCAGCTGCCCAGAGGCACTCCACTCTGCCAGGAAGCAGCCTGCCTAAAGGTGCTCAGGTCTCTTGCTCTGTGGGCCAGAAGTCCACAGTGGCCCCATCTCCTGGTGGTCTTTTGGTTCTGCTGCCAGCGCTTCTCGCCATCTCTGGTGTTATAGCTCCCTCTCTGCCTCCTGGGTTTAGGAAGCTCTCAGTTCAGGGATCCCAGGTCTGAAGGATACGCACCACTCCTGGTTCATCTTTCTTAGTGATAGGGCAATCCCTTCTGCGCTGGGATTGGCTCTTTTTTAAGCTTAGCAGGAGGGTAAAACGGATCAATTCCTTTGTTAGGGTTCCATCCTTATACCTTATTTGCATGGTACCACCCCCACAGGGATTCCATGCACATTATTTGCATTATTAGCAAGCCGTCCAATCCCTCTGGTGAGCCATCAGCACCGTATCTGCATAGTTATATAGTTAATAGTTAATAATTTTGTACGAGGTGGGGCCACAGTGAGAAAGGCCACATAAAAGTGATTCATCATACCATGGTGGGGGTGCAGCTACAATCTCAAACAGGAAAGGATGACGGAGCAAGACCTGAAGGAGGTAGTTAGTAGGGGTGGTGAGCCCCATGTAGATCCAAACAGCAAACTGGACAGGTGGAACAGCAAGTACAAAGGCTAGTGAAGGCTGTGAAGAGTGAGCTGAAGGAGAGGAGAGGGAGGCAAAGTCAAAGGAGTCACACGGTAGGGTGCAGACCACGGCAAGCCTCCCAGAAGCCTTTGTGCTGCTTTTATTGTGCTGACAAATCCATGGCAGTACCACAAATCTGAGAGCAGCTTCCTCTTCCTTTCTTCGGACTAGGTGGAAATGCGTTGACAACCAGGCTGTCTGGGTTCAAACCCTTGGCTCCACTACTTACCTGACCTCCTGTGCATTAGTTTCCTCACCCATATAAAGGGGAAAACATTAGCATCTGTCTTATGGGGTTACTGCAAAGATTCAATAAGCTGCAGCACTTAGAACAACGTCCAGTGTCATCCATCATGCATCATGTGTTGGCTAATTTTTTCTACTTCTTTCCTAATAACCTTCCTGCTCCAGAGAGAAAGTGATTTGCCCCAAAGTCCTTAGTCAATAAAGGGGAGAGCCAGTCCTTAGGCTACTGAGCTCCAACCTCCATGCCCCCCACCCCCAGGGTAGTGGTGCCCCCAGGAGAATGTGATGGCAGCAGGCAGCATGGGGCCCTTGAGGGTCCTGTTGCCCCTCACTGATGACCTTCCACATCTCATCTCCCTGACCTGGCATGGCATCCTCTGTCCAGATTCTCTAAAATCCTTTTCTCTAGAACTTTCTCTGGGGATGGGGCCGGGAAGCTGGCCTGTTTGTCCCCTCGTAAGGGTGGTTCAGCAACACTTGGGTTGAAGCCGACAGGATAGTGGATTTGAGCCCACACACCTGCCTCAACAAAGGGATCTTTTTGAAGGCTCAAAGTCAATGGTGTATTAATTAAGGGGGAACAGCTGCTACCGCAGTTCTTATGATAAGTCAGTGACAAATGGCCGTGTTTACTTTTTTCCTGAGCTGAAACTCTGGAAGGTGGCTTGGAGCTCCTGGATGGATGTCCGTGGCTAAGATTTGTGGAGTACAGCTTCTCTCTTGCCCACCAGAGCTGCTTTATGGGCACCCACTGAGGTCTGAGAGGGCTGTTTGTCACCGAGGAGAGACAGGCCTGTGGCACTGGGGAGCACTTGAAAGGGATTCAGGCAGAGCAATGCAATTCCCCAACAATAGCTTCCATCCAAAAATGCCCTCAGATCCCATCTCTGGGCAGATCCCACCACCCCACAAGAACCATCCCTTGTGAAATAAAAGCTTGTTAAAAGTGAGTCTGTCCTTCAAAGCTGAGGACGATTGCAGAGCGAAGATCTGAACGTCTGCAGGGCCTAGCGCTGAGGCGACACCTGGGGCTTCTGCACCAGAGACAGGAGCAGCCCGCCGGGGGCCTTTTGTTACGGAGTTTACAGTGTTTTGATCTCATGTCTGCTCTCCAAACAGCTTCTCCGATATAGAGCCCTGCATTAGCCTCCTACTTAGCTGAAGCAAAACACAGCGGAGGGCAAAGCTTTCACAGAAAAGCAGAAAAGGGAAAGTTGGGCTCTTTTTTGGGTTGTGCTTCTGGGTCCTTTCACTGTCAGCTCAGCACCCGTCAGCACCCACAGGTGGAGCCCTGTGTGCATAGGTTACAAACCACACGGGGCACAGAAGAAGCTGAAGAACTCCACACATACTACCAATCCTTACAGCATTGCTTTGGGGACAAAGGGAAAGACTCATGGACAAGCAGCGCATTCCCTGCCAGAGGCCCCACATGCCTACGGCTTTCCAGAATCCTGACACACCTAGGGTGGCTGGCCTCCAAGGTTGAGCAGGTGCTGATGGCCAGTAGGATACCTGCAGTACTCAGCCAGCCTTGCCCACTTCGCCTGTGGTGAGGGACCGCCACGCACCAGCCAGACTGTACCCTAGTGGGCCACACGGTGGTCCAGGTCCTTTCTGAGTGCTGTATTCTTTCCATTGGTTTGGGCCTAGATGAGATTCTGCATCATCAACTTCCTGCCCCTTCCGGGTCACAGCAGGTCTAGCAGCTGCTGAAGAGCCCCTTCTACCAAGCCTGTCTCCCGTCTCCTCCCAGGGCTGGGCACTGAGCTCCTCAGGGGAGCCTCTTAGGACCTCACCAGGAGACAGCAGTGGGGCCAGAGGAGAGGCCCTATGGACACCCATCCTACCTACCAGCACTTGTTACTTAGACATAGAAATTGAGGTCCAAGGGGTTGAGCAGTTTGCCAGACTCTGCCATTAAAAGGCAGAGGCCCAGAAGTAGGGAACACCAGCTCCCCAGGAGGTGCCCAGATCCCTCCCTCCTGCTGGGTCTCTTCCCAGCCAGGTCCTTCAGAGCCCTCTCCAGTCCTTGCTCTCAGCTGACCTCTCTGGAGCCAGTGATGAAAAACTCCACACACTACCAATCCTTATAGCACTGCTTTGGGGAAAAAGGGAAAGAGACGTGGACGAGAAGCACATCCATTTTTAATAGTTTATTCATCCAACAGTTTCCACCCTGATACTGAAGCCTGTTTTGGTTTTTGTTATTCTTCTGGCTGGAGCCTGATTATGGGAACATTTCTTCGCCACGGGGCTGGCGCTTAGAGTCCAGCCCAGCCCATCATCCAGACATCAGAGGAAATGAGAGAGTATTGCTACATTGATGGAGACTGGAGCTTTATTAAGGAAACGAAAAAATACCAATAACCAGAAAGGGGTGGCTAATATCTTCTGGAGGCAGCTGTTGCGTCTGCTCGGCGTGCTCCCCCTCTCCTGCCGCAGAGGAGAACATATGGGGATGAGGCTCAGTTGGAGAGGCTCTCACACTTAACTAATAAGGCCCCCCGCCGCTCTGTTTCTGGAGAAGGCCTCCTGCACGGATGCGGTTTGATGAGCTGGCGGGAAGGCCCTAATGAAGGGCTGTGCGCCATGGCTCTGGAGCGGCCAGCAGGGGGCAGAGCTGCTGCCCCCACCCCCACCCCCTCACCCTCCCATGACACATCCGCCCAGGAAGCTGGCGGTGGTGGGCTCCATAGAGCCACTAGTGTGGACCGACCTCTCTTTAAACCATCCCCAGTGTGGGAAGGTTGTGGTCTCAGTAAAATAAGGTCTTTGCAAGGTTCTCTGGCTTGGCATGAGATTCTCAAGGCTCAAAAATCAGCATTCTCGGCCTGATGCAATGCCAGCACCCATAGGTCTGGACTAAAATTACGATGACAATGTCTCTGAGAAGCACCATGAAGGGGGTCCTCCCCTGGGAGGCTGCCTGAGAGGAGGGGGTGGCTGTGTGTGGCAGCCCTGACCCTCCTCTTGGCTCTCTGGCCCCTCTTCCCACCCCAGGTTCTTCCCAGGAGGCCACATCAGTAGCTCGCCCATGACCTGAGGACCCTGTCAGAGCTCAATGTTTCTAGACAATTTTCCTACACTCACTGTTTCTAGTTTCTAGCTTCTTCTTTCTTCAGGAACAAAGAGGCCCATCCAGCCAAAAGACAGGCTTTCTCCCCTCCCCCTAGAGCTCCCAGGTTAACACCCCATGAAGGCACATAAACCAAGCTGCTCCCTATCCCTGCCCAACCCACCATCCCCAACCCCAGCTCCCACAGGTGCTGCCCACCTTAGGTGGCATGGGCGAGCTCCAGCTCACCCAGCTCACACTTGCTCTGCACGGTTTTACGGTGGCTGCTCGTTTATCTTTTTTGTTTGTGACAAACAAACCCTTCTCCCCTTTTCTGCTAGCAAAGTAGGGCAGGGAAGGCCAGCCCAATGTAGAAGAAAAGCTGTCTGCCCAGCACTGGCATCATTCTCCTGTCTGCCCTTAGAGAAAACACACATTTCCCTAACAAGTTCAACTCTCGGGCTTACAGAGAGACCTTTGGAATGGGTGTCATGGAGAAGGGTGAAAAGTCAAGGCAAGTGTGAATTCAGCACCGGCAGGTCTGGTGGTGCACTGGTGCCCTGAAGCAGGTCCAGGGAACAGACTGACTGCCCTTTCCTGGGGATTATCGCTCCGAGTCAGAGAAGGAAGAGGGCTTAGTCCATCTCCACACCAGCATATCTTCTCCAGCCACGCGGTGGGACTCTGTCTGGATCCGGGACTCATTGGAGGCCAGGAACTCCACAGCTCGGTCCCAGACCCGCTTCATGCGCCGCCTGCAATGAGAGAGGCTGGTTTGGAGGGGAGTCACGCCTGGAACAGCTCTGCTGGAGATGCAGTCAGAGGGGGTAGTGGAGCTGTGGACGCCCTTCGAACAAGGGGAGAACACAGTTCCAAGAGCTAGTACAGAATTGATTTAGGGGAGAAAAGCCGTTGGGACCTAACAGGGCTCCTGCAGAGGAGAGAAATTTTTGGGGTCAGGGAGAAATGATTCCTCAACCCTCTTGTTTCAAAAGCTTTCCATTACAGTAAGCAGGCAGAGGCTGAGGTATGTGGAGCACCTGCAGGTCTCTAAGTATGAGGGGGTCTTGCTGGGTTTGCTGGTACCTGTTACTTACAGCAGCCCTCCCTCAACAGGCTGGCCCCTGCTACCAGCGCTGGCTGCATTTTAATGCCTCATGTGGGCTAATTAAAGAGTGACCACTGGGCTGTAGAAACTCCACAGCACTTCAGGCTGGGGATGAGCTAACCATCCGACTGCAGAGGCTGAGCAGACTCAGGACACTAGGTGGAGCCCTCTCTACTGCTCAGCGCTGGGCTCAGACCAGTGGGCGGTGTCCCTGCTCTGCTGGGTCCCCAGGGCCTTGCCTCCTCTTGGACATGTCCCCTCTTTTAGACTAGACAGGAGGATTGCAGGGCAGTCAGGGAGGGTTGTTTTGTCATCTTCTCTTTATTGAGCCCACATGTCATGTACATGGATCCCTGGTGGCGCAGTAGATTAAGTGTTGGGCTACTAACCACAGGGTCAGCAGTTCAAACCCACTAGCTGCTCCACAGGAGAAAGATGAAGCTGTCTGGTCCTGTAAAGAGTCAGTCTAGGAAAGCATAAGGAGCAAGTATTACTCTGTCCTATGTGGTCACTTAGTTGGAATGGGCTCACAGGCATGGGTTTGGTGTCATGTAGACTCCAACCCTCTCTCAGGGTGGAGAGAGTATGGCTGTGAGTGTACGTGTGCAGTGGGAGCGTTCACCAGGAAAGAGCAAATGGCAGCGATGCCCCTGAGCTAGCTGCTGAGTCAGGAGCAGGTGGGGACAGAGAAGAGAGGCTTTCTTCCCTGGGCTCAGGCTTGTCCAGCAGCCCCCGACTTGGCTGGTCTGGCCAAGGCCGCACACTCCCTGGGGACTGAGCTCCAAGGATGCCCACAGGCAGGCAGGTCCTCAAAGCAGCAGCCAGCATGGCGTGGGGGCTAGCTCCTTACTCTGGCCCCTCCTTCCCAGGCTGCCCATTAACAGGTAATGAACAAGCCTGCCCGCGCCAGCTGCTCTAATCAGCTCCCTGGCTTTTCGCAGGAAACAAGCTCTTCAAATCTCTCTCAATCTCTCACAAACAGGCCCTCATCTACAGATCCCAGCGTACCCACGCACGGCTGACAATGTAGCTAATGTATCCTTAAGTGTAGAGAGCTTGGCCTGGCTGAGCTGGGTGTCTTGGGAGACGACTCAAGAGGTTGCCGGCCCGAGTGGGTTTGCTCCAGAAACCACCAGTGAGCCTCACTGGGAGGGAAGGGTCCGATCCTTGTACGGTAGCCTCCACCTGTGCGGCCATGCACCAACCAAGGAAACCCTGACTGCCTGTGCTAATAAGGCTGTGCAGGAGCTGGAAGGGTGAGGGGTAAGGGGGCGTTGGGCCTGAGGACAAGCTGGTGTTACTGTGACTTGGCCTTTCACCTTCACATTCTGATTCCAATGAGTGCATATGTCGGATATAATTTAAACACAAGCAACAATGGCTACCTTCTGATGAATGCTCCAGAGCCAGGCACTGACTGAGGCCATCTCCCCACCACTCCCCTAAGGACTTGTCACTACCTAACATGATACACTTTCTCTATGGACTCTGTCCTCCAGCTCTCTCCCTAGAACAAATGTTCCAGCAGGGCAGGGATGTTTTTGCTTGTTTCCTTTCCCACGGTCTCTCCAGGCTCAGTAGTTCCTGGCATGTAGCAGGTGCTCAATACACATTTGTTGAGGATATGAATGAATGCATGACAGAATGATAGCCTCTCTTCACAACTCTGTTTTATGGATGAGGAGAGAGTGCCCCAGAGAGGCTGAGGGAATTACCCATGGTCACACAGCAGCCAGGAGGCAGGGATCCTTTCTGTGGAACTCACTAGGGTCAGGCCTCTCCCTTGCCCTGTCCCCAACTCCCACAGCAATGGGAAAACTCACCGACTCTGCGGGGGGATCAGGGTGTCCCGCACGTGCAGGATGCCCACGTATGGGTAGCGCTCCATGTCCTGCTCCCAGTCCACGTAATGGTCCTGGACCACATCTGCAAGAAGGAGAACACTGTTTAGACAAGCACCCTTGGGCAGGTGTTGGCAGCCCTTTCACCAGGTGTCCACGCACCTATAATCTTCTTCACCATCTCATACATGGCCTGCTCCTCCTCTTCCAACTTCCGCCACCGATACTTCAGGAGAATGAGGAGTGCCCACAAGAAAGCCAAACCTGGGAGAGGAGCAAAGCCTGTTAATCTGTCACTTCTCCTTCAGTAGTTCAGATACTCAGCGGCCTTCACTCTGGGCAAGTCCGTGTGCAGGAGGCTGTAGGTGACCTCCTAAGTGTGTGCTTAGTATCTGCTTTGTGTGAGGCACAGGGCTGGTGTGCAGGCAAAAAGGATGCAGACATGCACAGGGAGGACTTGCTATTAAGCCATCATCCTCTGCCAGCTGTCACCACAGAGGCATCCCTAGCCATCCGGATCTTGGCTCCACCCCGCTGGGCTTTCATCTCCTCCTTCGTGTGCTGGAACACAGCGTTTCATCCATCTAAACATGCAGGGGGGTGGGGGGGCTTTGTGTTTGGAAATGCTGTTGCTGATAATTCTCCCTGTGCCTGATGGTGGGTGAGGGGCCATGTGCATGACCAGGTAACCTGTGATTTGGCAGCCCCACTGCTTCTAAAAAGCTGGTGTTACTGTGACTTGGCCTTTCACCTTCAGAAACATCCTGAGGTCTCTGCACAAAGGCGGTGCCTGATGTTGGGAGTCTAGATGCCGTGCTCATTTTCAGTTTGGCATTCTGGATCTATTAGCGGTCCCCTTCCCTACCCTCCCCCGATGTGCCTTGTTATGGGCTGGGATTATGCACACTGGGATCCTTGCAGAGGTGCTAGAAGGAACAATCCCTGGCCCAGCCCTGTTCTGGTCCCCTCTTGGGGAAGCTGAAAGTCCCCTGCCCTGAATCAAGGACATTTTCTAGGCATCCTCACAAACCTGCCACAAACCGCCAAAGGTAAAGACAATCCAGGGCAGAGGCTGACTTGTTCATATCCTCTGTTTTATTAGACAGACCTCAGCTTCACTAGACAGAAATGAACTCTCCAGGCCTGGGATTTCCAGAACTCATCCCTCATGCCTCCAAGTGTGGCAGAGGAGGGCTCTGGGGAGTTGGGGGTGGTAATGTGTGTGAGCAGCCCCAGGGTGGGGGAGAGCTGGGGACTTACACCAGAAGAAGAGGAGCACGTGGGTGACTGCAGTGAGCAAGGCTCGGCTCAGGCGGCAGCCCACACCCATTCGGGGGCGGGCAGACTCCAGGCACACCACCTTGTCCAGGGTCGTTACCAATTCCGTTGGGTCCTCCCCTTTCAGCCTGAAACAGAACACAGATTCTAGACCTGTTTGAAAGCTACGGGGAGTCACACCATCAGCCCCACTTTACACAGGAGACTGCAAAGGAAGGAGGGGTTTATAGGCCTCAACTTGCTTATAAAATAGGCTGGGTATCTTGGTTGCTCTCTTTCCAGAAATTTCCGACACTGGTTACTTAGAAAGAATAAAGCTTTAAAGATGGCAGCAGGCTTGAACCCCTGCCGCTTAAATGACATCCCCCTCTGTCAGGTCTTTGACAGCCCCTCTCAGCGTGCAGAAGATTAAACTGTAAATTGGATTCCCACCTCCCAGCATAGAGAAATGGAAATGTTTACTGAATCACTGGCTTTGCAATTGCATGGCAAGAGCGAAAGACAGAATTGGGGAGGCTGCGCTTTTCCTCTGTGACAAGGAGGCTCTTATGCTGTTTAAGTGTAAAGACTGGGAGCATCTGCCAGGCTGATGGGGATGGAAACCGCTGGACTCTCCACTGCCAGTCGCCAGCTATAGAGCACACCTAGTCCACACGGGACCCGAAGACCTGCGCCTTCATCCAGCTAGGTGACCTAGGATGGCAATGACCCTCTGGAAGCTGCATCCTGGGATGGCTGGAGTCCCAATTTCTCACAACTCACTTTCACACTGGCTATCCGAGCCGGGCTCAGCCTCCATCCAGGCTGCCTTGGTGACTATGAAAAGGTAGGTGTCATCAGTCTATCACGCTAGCAGCTTCAGTGAGCACGGTAGAGGATAAAATCCATATGCCCCGCTGCCTTTTCTAACACACAGGAAAATCGCTCAGCTACTCAGAGCAGCTTTATTTATTTATTTTTTAAGCCAACGAATCTTAATCGTGCCATGCATCTGGTTATCAAGCTTTACGTTGAGCTGCCCGAGGGGCCTCTACTGGATGCGCTGCTGATGGAATTAGTAATTTGGGTGGATTAGAGAGGAAGAGAACTGATCCCCAGAGTGTGTTTTAGTATCAGAAGCTGGAACAGGGATCCTGACGCATGCTGAGTGTCCAGGGCAGGTTGATCACAGGGTGGAAAGGCTCACCATCTCAGTGAAGTATTTGCCACTGACAGGCCTGAGGCAGAAGTGCCTGGTCAGAATGAAAACCAATATTTCCTTTGGCAATTTTCATACTGAGCAAGAGCAACATCCAGATTCATTTCCTCTACCAAAGAAAAGCTAGCACTCAAGAAGAGGAAGTGTAGAAACTGCCTCTTCAGCATACCCCGCGGGCTGGTGAATTAAAAGGGCACTGGCTGAGTTACCTGAAACAGGAATTTGCTGGAATCCCAGAGGATATGCTAACACCTGGATTTGGGCTCTCATCTTGAAACTGCACCTTAGACTGTATTTGCTGCTTCCTCCCTCTGCCAGCTGGCTTCAAACCCAGTCCACAGCAACTCTGGCTGGGAGATTTGCCCTCTAGCTCCAGGCCTGAGACCCCTTCAGTGGCGCACAGATGTCAGCTAAGAGCACGCCTGTGCACTCCTCTGTCCCGCTCTCTCATGTGATGCCAGTCTGCACTCACCAGATGCCCACGTCCTTGTTACTGCTCAGGATCCAGGTCAGGGCAGCTTCAAACTTGGCTGCAGTATTGCCGGTCACATTCTATGGGAGGGGTTGAGAGTTTAGTTGTGTGTCTGGGCAGAGCGGCTAGAACAGCTTTATTCAGATATTCGCCTATGTCTTCTGAAGGCCCAAAGCCCCATTCCACTGAATGCACAGCAAAATGAAAGCCATGGAAGAGGCCATGAAGTGGGAGGTAATGCAGAAACACCCGCAGGAAAGCAGTGTAGGTCGGAGGCAGCCAGCAAATACAATTTTCCCAAGGACCGAAGAATGAGGCCAGAGAGCTGGCAGCTCATCTTGGGGCAAAATGACAAAGAGCACTGGGACAAGGGCTGGGCTATGTGGCTACCAGGCCCAGCTCAGCCATTACAAGCTACATGCCCTTGGGCTAGTCCCTTCCCCTCCCTGGACCCTCAGTTACTTCATCTGTGAAATGAATATTGAACCAGATGACCCCCTAAGGTCCTTGGCATATCCAAAGTTGCTATAATTCTACCTTCCTGAGGCCATGTGGAAAACCAAAAGGACCCTGAGCAGTGTGCACAGTAATTGTCAGGGCAGAGAGAGGACCAGGCAGAGTGTGTTCTTAAAGCCACCAGAAGGTGAGAGAACTTAAGCAAAGGAAGAGCAAGAAAGCAAAGCAACTTAAGAAATCAGGCAGCCAGCAGTGATGCACATCAGCTGGTTAAGGGCCAGCAGTAAGCTCACTGTCCACACAGCAGGCCCACCTCTGTCACAATGTACCTTGGTCCCAGAAGCCCCCATGACTGCCTTAGCTTAAGGCAGCTGACCACTCCACTATGTTTAAAAAAATAATAAAAAGGAACGCTAAAAAGCCCACACAACATAACAATGTGAGAGTTGGGGGGAGAAATCAGGGCTTGAAAGATCAATACGAAGGCGCTGAGGCCTCCCGGGAGTGGATACACACCGCAGCCTACTTACTGCTATGTATTCCTGAGCTTCCACAACTGGGATACATTTGCTTTTTAGGTTATCTGGGTTTCCACACTCAAAATTACCTAGGAGAGGAAAAAATACACAGACACAAAGTCACATTTAAAGACAAAGAAAAGGTGAGAAAAAATTTATTCTGAAATGGCCTAGAAAACGCAGCAAGAATCAAGCCATCAGCTCTAATAAGGAGCATGTGGCCCGGCAGCATCCCGGCTTCCATGGGGGCATCTTCACTCTGCAGCAAGATCAAAAGCCACTTAGCTTGGATCGATTCCAGATCATTAAAACCTGACCTGCAAAGCAGTGCGGCTATTTGCATTAAATGACTAAAAAGCTGCCCAATACCAAGGTCTGTTTGCAACTGATCCCTAAAAGGATCAGACAGATAGCTTCGGAAGGTACAGGAATGGCATTATAAATAAACAGCCTGGGAAAAAAAGAAAAGGCAGGGCAGCTATGGGTGCCGCAGTGATTTTGACTCGTGACATAGGCAGGTGACCTGGAACACTGGCTGGGGGTCCAGTCCAGCCTTTCAGGCCACCTCCTCTGAGAAGCCCCCAACCAATGGGGGCCTCTCCTTTACCCAGAATGCTCCAGACTTAGTAACTGGCCACAGCCCTCGGCTCTTGATTAGCGGGAGCCGTTTCCTGTAAGTCCACTCACCCCCTTGAGAATAGGGTGGCACACACAACATCCAGTGCTCACATGTGGCCTGACTGCCCTGGACCTGGCACCCTCTGGAAGGTTCTGGATGGTCAGTTTATGTGTGTGAGTTGGGTGGGAATAGGTGAAGTAACACTAAAACCTCTTGAGAATGAATGGAATCCTCCTACTTCAAAGTAGTCTTGACATCCTGGGTCCCTATGACCCGGTTGGTGCCTCTTCCCCATCTTCAGCTCCCATCCCATCCCAGATCATTCCTGGCCCTATCAAGCTGGCCCGGAGCTCTCTCAGGTGATCTCCTATCTCTCCCCTTTCCAAGCTCCATGTTCTGTTAGCAAACCTTTATAATAATGCTATGTTAAGCAACATGATGCTACTTAAGTTGCTGCCACATTCATTGCCCTGGCCCCAGGCCTCCCTGGCTCTTACTGTCTGCAGGATCAGTCTCAGGGACTTCGCAACCAGTCTTCCAAGGGGAAAAAGGCCCAACTGACCTTTCCAAACAGAACTTCCTCTTCTCCTTGCCCCACAAAGACAGCTGCTTCCCAGTCCTGATGCTCTGATTCCCTTTGGCCCCTATCCTCCCCCTTGCACAGATGATCATGCCTACCTGGCATTTAGGCCTGGCTTAGAGGCCACTGACCCATGATGCTTTCTGGCTGCTCCAGCTAAAAAGGCACTGTGCCAACCACGATTCCACTTCAAATTCACATGGGTGGTTGTTTTAAAATACAAAACAGAATGGAAAAATGAGAGCTGGTGAGGATGTGGAGAAATTGGAGCACTCCTCGACTGCTGGTGGGAATGTAAAAAAGTGCAGCTCTGTTGCACACAGTCAAGTGATTCCTCAAAAACTTGACCATAGAATCTACCCAGCACATTTACTCCTAGCTACAGATCCAAAAGAACTGAAAGCAGGACTGGAAACAGAAATGTGCACTCTACCGTTCACAGCAACACTGTTCACAATAGACAAGGAGTGAAAAAAACAAATAAACAAAATGTGGTCTATATACATACAAACACAGCCATAAAAGGAACTGAAGTTCTGATAGGTACCATGACAGAGATGAAGCTTGAGAACATTATGATGAATGGAAAAATACAAATCCCAAACAAAACCAATGGTTACTGAGTTAATTTCAACTCACAGCAACTCTATGCACAGAGTAGAACTGCTCCATAAGGTTTCCTATGAGAGGGGCTGGTGGGTTTGAACTGGCAGCTGAACGTTTAAACCACTGTGCTACCAGGGCTCCCTGAGTGAAGTAAGACACAAAAGGACAAATACTGTCCGATTCCACTTCTATTATCTATCTAAAATAGACAACTGCAAAGAGAGAGAAGGTAGATCAGAGGTTACCAGTGGCTGAGGAGAGGGGAGAACAGATACAGTTTGTCTGATGAACAAGTTTTGGAGGGTGGTTGGTGATGGCTGTTGTGAATGTAATCAATGTCTCTGATGCATGCACCTAAAACCTGGTTAAAGATCTAGTACATATACTTTAGTAAACACATACACATAAGATTATCCCCAAGCTGCACAGGAAGGCACTAAGCTCTTCGCTGGCTATTCCCAGTCTCCAGCTGAGTGAGGCTGGAAATGGTAGCCATGGAGGCTGTCACTCAATGATTACGTCTCTTTAATCCTATACAAGTCAATTCATGAAGTGTCAAAATCCAAGCTAGATTAGGAACATCTGACTTTTGGGAGTCATTATTGTGAGGCGGGGTAGCATGGTGGTGTTACAGGATAAGCAGTAGATTGCGAGCCACAAGGCCAGTGGTCCGAGATCACCTGTGATCTGTGGGAGAAAAATGAGAGTTTCTGCTCCCACAAAGACTGAAAGCTTTGGAAACCCTATACAGGGTGGTTTTTAATTGGCATGGACTTCACAGTACTTAACAACAATACGAGGAAGGGAGTTCTGGTGTGGTGCTGTAGGATAAGCACAGGACTGCTGATCATAAAATTGTTGGTTCAAACCCACCAGTGGCTTCTAGAAAACCTTATTCAGGGTTGCTATGATTTGGAATCAAGTCAAGGGCATACTACAACAGCAACAACAACAACAATGACGACGTGAGGCGGCACTGTAGGGTAAGCACTGGACTGCTAACCACAAGGTGGCAAGTCAAAACCAACAACCACTCTGCAAGAGAAAAATGAGGTTTTCTACTTCTGTACAGAGGTACAGCCATGGAAGCCCTATGCAGGGTCACTATGAGTCGGAATCAATGCAATGGCGGTGTGTTGGGCTTTTTTTTTTTTAATGTGCAACTTCACATGTGTCTGTTATGGATTGCGTGGTGTTTCCCCAAAACATGTGTTGTAAATCTTAACTTCTATGTCTGTGATTATAATAATCCTATTCGGGAATGGGTTGTTGCATTACCCCTGACCACCTGTATTTGACTTTTCTTGCTATGGTCCTGTAACTCCACCAAAAGATTATGTGACACTAAGCACATAAAGTGCTTGTGGCCTGCCAAGAGGACTGAACAACTTGCTGATAATGCGAATAAGGTACATGGCACCCTTTAGGGGGTCGCTGTTGTTGTTAAGTGCCTGTCCAGTCAATTCTGACTCACAGTGACCTTTTTTAGGGTTTCCGAGGAACAACTGGTGAGGGTGAACTGCTGACCTTGCGGTTCAAACCGACCTTGCAGTCCAGTGCATTAGCCCACAGCGCCACACTAGGATTCTAAACTTACATGTAAGTTTATATAGGCTGATACAATACACGTAAATGCAAATTTACGTGTAGATAATTGCCAAGTAGATAACCTGGTGGTGTCTGAATTTTTGGACTAAGGATTTCCTGACCCTAGTTCTGTTGGGCCCATGCAAATATGGCGGTGCTGTTGTTAAGTGCCACTGAGTCAGTTCCGACCCACAGTGACCCTAAATAGGGTTTCTGAGTAGCAGCTAGTGGGCTTGAACCGCCAACCTTGCAGTTCAAAGTGACCTTACAGTCCAGCACATTAACCCACAGCACTAAACCAAGGGTTTCATACACCTTGTCATCTGGTCAGTCTTGTCATCCCTAAAGTTATATCATGAGTCATCCCAGAGGCAGAAAAAACCTCCCTAGCACCCAGAAGAGAGCACTCCTCTGGACCCAAGGTCACTGCACTGAGAGCCTCCTAGACCCAGGGGACAGAGTGAGTTGCAACAATGCAGTTGGAGAGCCCCAGTGTGAGATGGCACAGTAGACTTCCGGGCTGTTATGGAATGAACTGTATTCCCCAAAATGTGTTATAAATCCTAACACCTATGCCTGTGGCTATAATCCCATTTTCGAATGGGTTGTCCTTGTTATGTTAATGGGGCAGAATTAGTACAGGGCATGTCTGAGTCAATTTCTTTTGATATAAAGAGATCAACAAGTAAGTGAGAGAAGCAGAGCTGGGGTAAGATAGATGCCAAGACACATGGAAATTGCCAAGGAACCAGGAAGCAGAAGCTGAAGGGTCAAGGTCCTTCTCCAGAGCAAGGAGACAGAGAACGCCTTCCCCTAGAGCTGATACTTTGAATTCAAACTTCTAGTCTCCTAAACTGTGAGAAAATAAATTTTTGGGTAAAGCGATCCACTTGTGGTATTTCTATTAGAGCAGTACTAGAGAACTATGAGAGTATTTGAAACCACGAGAGTGAGGTGCTGCTTCCACAGATACTAAAACGTAGAAGTAGTTTTGGAATTGGGTAATAGGTAGAGGCTACAAGAGTTTTAAGGTACCTAACAGTAAAAGCCTAGACTGCCTTAAGAGACTGTGGGTGAATTCCGGATGTCCAAGGCAACTCTTGTGGAGGGCTAGGGAGGAGTGAGAAGCACTATCAAGAAAGTCTCTACCATCTTAGAGAATACATATGGCGCCAGCAGCAGAACACTGCTAGAAATGTGGGCGTTAAATGTGCTTCTGTTGAGACTGTAAAAGAAAAAGAACATGCGATTGGACAAGAGAAGTAGGGTGATACTTTTTATGCAGTGGCAATGAACTTGTCTGAATTACATTTGGTGGAAGGTAGAAGTGGTAAGTGATGAATTTGGATATTTGGCTGATGAGATTTATAAGCAAGATTTAAACGGGGTCATGTGGTCTCTCCTTGTTGCTCACAGTAAAATGTGAGAGAAGAGATGGACTTAAAGATGAACTGTGTGAAATGAATAGAACTTAAATATTTGGAAAATTTTGTTGTACAAACTAAGGACACATGTCCTAGAATGTTCACCAAGGACATGGCTTTTCTTAAAGAGATCAAGCTTGTGACTGATGTATCTAACCAACTACCACAGTAGAAAACTTTACAAAAGCTTAGACTGAAGGGGATAGAGAAAGAACAAAAGGAAAGAACACTGTCTGCTTCTTGAAATTCTACTGGCACAAAACAGGCCAAAGGGGCTACATTCGTAGTCCTCCAAGAAAAGAAAAGGACCATCCCTAGAGCAATATGGAGATCAGAAAACTGCTGGAAGGAACGCGGGAAGCAGGGCTGCCTTGAATTCTAAGGGTGAACTCATGGCCTGCTGAGTTTCAAGGGCTGGGGTCGTGGCTTCCTAGGTCTCAGAGGCACACCTTCACCAACTGGGTTCCAAAATGTGGGGCTGCTGTTACAGAGTGCCAAGGCGATGGGGCCACTGCCCAAGGCTGAAGGGGCAGGGATGCCATACCCAAGGGAAAGGAAAACGGGGTCTGTTGGGACTGAGGGAATAGGGTCACAACTCAGATGGGCTAGGAGAATGCCACCAATAGTTGAGAGAGTAGCTGCCATCCCAGTGGGCCTGGAAGGCAGAGTTGAAGCCCAGCATCAAGGGGCTTCTTCCACCCAGAGTCCAGAGAGCTTGGACAATACCCAGAGTCTGGAGGGCAGGACCAAATGACTAGATGGACTCAGAAAACAGAGGATTATTTTGCACTCTTGAGAGTTAATTTAAATTGTTCTGCTGGGTTTAGCTCTTGGCTTAGTGTGGGTGCCTGTTACTCCTTCTTCCATCTGATTCTTCCCATTTGTAATGGAAATGTCTACCTTGTACCTATTCCACCACTGTACTTTGGAAACAGAATGTTGCCCTAGGATGAAATGCACCTGAAGTTCTCATCTATATTTGATTTAGCCAATTCAGAAGACAAGATTTTTGGACTTTAAGTTGATAGAAGATTTCTGGGATGAAGCAATGGGTTTAATGTGTTTTACATATGGCAAGGACACAGAATTTTCAGGGTCAAAGGGTAGAATGTTATGGATTCCAATGTATCTCTCCAAAATTTATATTGTAAATCCTAAACTCTGGGTCTGTGGTTATAATCCCATTTGGGAATGGGTTGTCTTTGTTATGTTAATGAGAAGGATTGCGGGGGCGGGGTGACTGAATCAATCTCTCTAAGTAGCAGAGATGGGGAAGAGAGATGCCAGTTATATGAAGATCTCTCAGGAGCAGAAACTCAGAGAGACAAGGAATTTCCTCCAAGAGAGCAAGTCTTCCCCTAGTGCCAACACACTGACTTTGGATTTCTAACCTCCTCAATTGTGAGAGGAGTCCTGCAGTGGTGCTGGGGGTTAATGAGCTGGACTGCTAGGTTGATTTGAAGTGCAAGGTCAGCAGATCAGCAGCTCCCTGGAAACCCTAAACAGGGTTGCTATGAGTCTGAAGCAACTCAATGGCACTTACCAACAACAACAAACTGTGAGACGGAGTCCTGGTGTGGCGTTGAGGGATAATGCACTGGACTGCAAAGGTCGGTCTGAACTACAAAGTCAGCAGTTCAAGCTCACCAGCCACTCCTCGGAAATCCTATACAGGGCCACTGCGAATCGGAACTGACTCAACGGCACTTCACAACAACAGCAGCAAACTGTGAGAGGAGCCCTGGTGTGGTGCTGTAGGATAAGTACTAGACTGCAAAGTTGGTTTCAGCTGTAAGGTCAGTGGTTCAAACTCACTAGCCACTCCTTAGAAATCCTATACATAGTCATAATGAGTCAGAAATGACTCAATGACACTTAACCACAGCCAAACTGTGAGAAATTAAATTTCTCTGTATTAACGTTACTTGCTTGTGGTATTTCTGCTATAGCAGCACGAGATCACTAAGAAAGACAGTCCCTAATAAGCTTTGTCTTAATATGATGGCCTGTTGAAATAATTTTGAAATCTTGACTTCATTATAGATTACTTGTGATTTCAGTATGTGCGAGAGTCAGTAGAGAATCATGGTTATGACACAAACTCTAGACCAGATCACACCTTACTAGCTGTGTAACTTTATGCAAGTTACTTACTCTCTCTGTGCCTGTTTCCTCTTCAATTACTATAGTAATAGGGCTATTAAGTATATTAATACTGTTAATTCTAAAAAACATATATGCAGCTAATAATAATCTAATAATTAGAGCAGATTCATATATTTAACATGAATTAGTTTTTGACCTTTATTTTCATTAACAGACTTAGAATCTGTTGTTGTTATGTGCCATGGAGTCGGTGCTGCCTCATAGAGACCCTGTACAGGGTTTCTGAGGCTGTAAATCTTTATGGGAGCAGAAAACCTCATCTTTCTCCCGTGGAACAGCTGGTAGTTTCGAACTGCTAACTGTGAAATTAGCAGCCCAATTCGTAACCACTACGCTACCAGAGCTCCTTAGACTTAGAATATACTGAGTGCTAAGTTTATCAATCAGTTCTTTTTCTTCTCAGTTACATATCCCACAATTCAGTTTATGTAAAATTTACTAAATGGGTCTTCTCTGAAAATTATTAGTTTTAAACTATTCTGAAAAAAAAAAAGAAAACTATAGAGTTGTATTGTTCGCTACATGTAGACCCTTATACGTGGACATTTTTGGTTGACAGTCTTTAGATATTGCAGGTCACTTGTTAAATATGACATCTTACTTACAGTTAAATACACTGGTGCATATTTTGTCAAATAAAACTGGTCTACATATTTTAAAAATGTAAGCCTTTCTGAAAGCGTTTCTTCTGGGCAAAGGAACTAAGTCTAAGCTGACTTTCTGTGATATTCTTGTACAGCTCAAATGTTTCATTACATGCATGCATTACTCATTCAGTTTAAATACTGGGTTGATCTGAGTCGGAATTGACTCCGTTTTTTATGCTAAGGAGTCCTGGTGTAGCGCTGTGGGTTAATGTGCTGGACTGCAAAGTCATTTGAACCACAAGGTTGGTGGTTCAAGCTCACCAGCTGCTCCTTGGAAACCCTATACAGGGTTGCTATGGGTCGGAAACGACTCGACAGCATTTAATAACAACAACACAACCAAGAAAAAAAAAACAAAAACAAAAAAAATGGAAGGCATTGTGCTCTCCTGCTCATTCTCAGCACTTGTGACCTCTCAGTTCTTGTTGAGTCACATTTGTGAGACTCATCTACGGTCAGGGAGGCAGAAGGCCAGTTTCTTCTATTAGCCCACAAGCAGTCTGTGGCAAGGACCTTTGGCTGAGCCATCTCATATGCTCCTGGGGCCAGCATAGTCCCTGCCCACAGCTGATCTCTGACTTGGAGAGGGGTATAGCCTTGGAGAGGGTTCCCACTCTCCCTCGACCTATCTCAGTGAGGCCCAATGCCACAGGGCTGCCCCTGCCAGGCTGCTCAGTAACATAAGCCAGGAGCACATATGGAGGGTGGGATGAGAAGAAATGTCTATGGGGACCCACTGTTTAAAAGCAGAGCTTCTCAAACTTTAGGGTGCACAAGAATCCCCTGGAGATCTTGTTAAAATGTTGCTTCCCATTCAATAAGCTTGGGGTGAGATACAAGATTCTGCATTTCCAGTAGACACCCTCCCATATGATACTGATGCTGCCGGCATAGGACTACACTTTGAGTAGCAAAGGTTTGGAATACCTTCTCAGGCCAGAATGTATACAGAGAGAGAAAGAACCATGATGACCATGATGCTGTGACCAGCAGCGTGGACTTCTACCTCTCCTCCATGGTCCTCATGGATGCGCTCTGTCCAATACTGTCTCCAAAAGTCAGAGGCGGGAGATGGTAAAGATAGTGCCCCCAAAACTAACCCTGAGGACTGAGGGTCACCTGACCTTGTCTTCCCAGCGACAATCTTAAACAGGGGCAGGCCCCAGACACCTAAGGCTGGACCTGTAGCCCTGCAGGAAACATCCATTAAAACTAAAAAGCTGTCTGGCTCTTATGTCACGTATATCTAAGGTGAGGCTCAAGCCTGTACCTTCACCGATGTTGACAGCACATGATTTTGAGAGTCTCCCAGATGCAGGGGTGGGGAAGACACAATGATGCAATGACCAAATGAAACTGTGTAATTGTAGGGGATCTTTCAAGGCTGGGTGTATTTTATAGAAGCATTCTGAGAACACCCTGTCTGTATAGCATAGCACTTGACTTGATTTTATAAAGACAAACAGACCCAAGATCACTGGTTCCACTTGCTGGACAGGGAGAACGAGGCCTTGGGAGGCCTGGGCATTTGTCTGAAGGCCCATAGCCAGCTGGGGGTGATCAGGACTAGAAACCATGAAACCCCAAAGCAATGTGGCCCTGTGGGCAACACTAATGCATCCCTCTCTGCTCTATTCTCAGGTCAAAGACCCTACCCCTATGTGACATCAGGGCCCTGGCAGGCTAGACAGGCCTGAGTGTGCCCCACCCACCATGCGGGCTGCCTGCCACCTGCCTAGGCCTCTCCACCTGCTATGGCTGTGACTGGTTCAATGAAGCACTCCAGGACTAAGGACACAGACTCTGAGAAGGTTTGGCCCCTTCTGATGCCAACAGGGGAACCCCAAAGCATCTTAGGTAGTGAGTACCTCAGAAAAAGGGGACCATCTGCTGATAGTCCTGCGCAGATGCTAATCCCCCATGGCTCTTAGTAAGGATGCAAAAACCAAATTTAGCCAAACGCAAGGCCTAAAAAAAAGAAAAAAGAAGTATCTGAGAAGTAAAGCTGGGGAGGGGAGATTTGGTTTCTGAGCATGTCTTTGGGAAGAAAACCACAGAGCATCTCAGCTACCTGCCAGCCAGTCGTGGCCCGGCTGATGTGGGCAGCAGTCCTCAGCCCGCTCCTGCGGCAGCTTGGGTCTCACAGCATCTACTCACCGGCTTGGATGGCCAGGAAGTTGTACAGTTCATGCAGCTGCTCCAGCAAGGCCGCCTTCTGTTTGGCCTGACAGAACTGAAAAGGCACAGGACAACCGGTCAGCAAGGGTGTAATGGGGTGTCTGTCTGTGTGCTTTCTGAGTCTATCCGACATCCCCAGCCACACTGTCCAGTACTAGGAAGCAAGGAACATCTGAAACGTTTGAAAAATAGAAATGAATCCTCCAGAGCACTGGGCCCAGGGAGAGGGCCCGTAAGTATCTGGTGAGTGGGCTGAACAGAAGCCCTGTTAGTAGTAGAGGCAGAGTGGAAAGCAGACACAGTAAGTAAAGGTCTCCCTGGATGGACCCTGAGCTTTCCTCAAATTAAAGGTCATCAAGCCCAACTTCCTACAGGGAGAACCAAAGGCTGTGGGAGCTTGGAAGGGGCAGGACAGAATGTCATGACTGAGGTCTTACTGCACCCTTGGGCCAGCCATTGCTATCCATTTTTGGAAAGTTGAGTGTCTATAATCTGCCTGTGGATTATCCACTTTGTGGATCATCTGCTGCAAATGTTTAACCTTTGACTGGATTCCCCTAGAGATGGGACATTTCTAGAATTCTTGAAACTATAGGGGGAAAACCATAAGTCTACGCATATGTATTTCTCCAGTACCTGTAACACAGTGATAGCACTTTGGTGGTTTTTGGACATTATAAGAAAGGTTGCTCTTAGGAGGGGGAGAAGCAGGACTAGAAGGAGGTATGGAATGCGTGGCTAACTGCCAACGTGAAGAGCTGCCTGCCTTCTTTGCCATGAGACCAGAAGACCCGGATGGTGTCTTTTGATCAAAGAGTCCACAGAAAAATCCTGAGATCAAAGAGGAACATGTAGGACAGAATTTTAAGTTCTCATGGACTAGAGACTTTCTGGAGCCATGGAGGGTAGATGAAGCCCTGACATTACTGCCCTGAGGTCATCTTGAAACCTTAAACCAAAAATACCCCTGAAGTCTTCTTAAAACCAAAGAATAGTTTAGCTTAACCAGAAAAAAATATTGACCTTGAGCATTACACCCTTTTGGGAACTATCTATAGAGGATAAAACTAGCAATAGTAACTCGAAAGATGAGATGGGAACTTTAGGGAGCAGTGTATTTATGCTAATGGGGAAGGGACAAGTCAGAAAAAGAGAGTCCGCTGCATTACTTGTAGAACGTAGTCAGTGCTGTTAAATGGTAGTGTAGACACTGCTCAATGAGTGCATGTTTTGCTGTAAATGTTCTCAACAGCAACAAAATAAATAAAATTTTAAAAAGAACTAAGGAAAGAAAGAAAGGCTGCTCTTCGTGGAGTGTGGACTGTGCCCCAGGTGCTGCCCGGAGTGACCTACAGGTAAATCCACATGGCATCCTCGCTCTACTCCGTAATGCAACTCAGTTTCTCAGGTGAGCTCCCCAAGGCTTAGAGACCTTCGGCAAGTCACTCACTAGTGGTGCAGCCAGATTCAACAGTCTGACCACCCCACACACAGCTGGCCCTCCCTTTTGGGTTTCATTTGTCACTGACATCTGTAAAGAGAAGGCCGTTGCTTCTAACAGTCTTAGAGGCTAAGATCTGTCGCCTCATGTTGCCAAAAGACCCAAGGGCCTTTACCTTGGTACACTGTGATACAAATAAGATTTGTATACATCATTATAAAATAAACATTCAGAAACAACTCCCATAAATAGGTGTTGCTGAATGTTTACTACTTTTTAGAGGTGGTTTAATGATACGGGAAATGTTGACAATAAATGTTAAGTGTAACAGAAAATACAAATACACTGAGATCCCAATTTTATAAACATCCATATTCAGAGTGATAAGAAGGGCAGGAAATGTCCCCAAAATGTTCGTGGTGATTATCGCTAGGTGGTGGAATCCTGGGTACTTCTTACCTTTGTCACATTTTCAAAACTGTCTATAGTGAACATCTATTACAGTCACATTCAGAAAACAAGCCTTAACAACTAACATTGCTACAAACTCATTGACACTGAGGTAAAAGCAGGCCTGACACTGCCTGTAAGAACGAGCACAGGTCCCACAGAACCGAGTCAACCCAAGGAGACAACACATCCACCCTCACCCTGTCCCCATGTTTCTGGTAGCTCAGAGGCAGAAACAAGAACACCAAGTGTCACGGACTTCAGCAGCTGACTTGGGAAAGAACACGCGTGTGGAAACACAATGCCCATTTGGGTTCTGGGTGTGCCTGGATCCACAGAAAGAATGAACCTTACAGCAAGGCCCTCACCAAAGCCAGGAAAGGGGTCCGGACCCACCCACGTTCACTTCCAACAGAGGCTGAGGGCGCCCCATGGAATCACAGCTGAATGAAGGCTGCAGCAACACTGCCTTTCAGAGCTCTGATGTGGTTTAAATGGTTAACTTGTGCACGTAGCACCTTCACTACTGAGCATCTGAAGCCTGTCTTTTACAACCCTGAGCACATCTTTCCTGAGTATCTGGTCTGTGGTTGACACCAGTGGACCATGATATTGGACATCCAGCTCAGAAGAGGGTCAGGAAGAAAAGTCTGTCATTTGGGGGGGTCTGATACACACGAAGGACCAGAAATAAGAACAAAGGATCCTTTTTTTCTAATGAAAAGACAAGCAAAACTAGGATATCCAGATTAAATTTACAGAAGTTACTTCCCCCGCCCCCCGTTTTTGTTTTCAGACATCAAAATTCTAGTTTCTTCTTGGACTGCCTACGTTTCTGGCCACTTCCTCTAATCATGAACTGGGGTTTATGATGATGGGCGGGTTAAACTTGGTATGAATTTTGTTTCAGAAAACAATCGGGAAGCTATCTGGAGGAAGAATGCAATAAACGAATGTGATAAAACATCCCCAAATTTGACACATCAGAAGCCAAGGAGAAATAGAGCTGGCTGGCTCCACCAAGATGCCCTTGCATTAACTTGGGGTCGCAAGTCATTGCAGGCCGCCCACAGTGACCACGCGATGTTTCTTTCCCGTCTCCTGGCTGTCACTGTCGTGAACTGAGGGCTTGGGGAGCCTGGCATTGTGCACTTAATAATTAGACTACTAAGTCATGCCCTCTGGCAGCACAAAACTCCTCCTGGTAGAATTTATGACCAGAAAATTTACTGCCTCATATCTTTCCCAGACGATCACCGAGTCCCCAGCATCGCATCTCCCTGCTAATGCTGTTTTCATGACTCATAAATGGATGTGGCTCTTGGCCTTCCCCAAATATTATTTGTAGAGAATATCAGCATTTCATAAGAGAAGCCTAAACACAGGCAAAAAGGGCTAATTCCACTTAAGTTATGTTTAAAGTAAACCCCTAAAATGTTTCAAATGAGAACAGCATTTTCAGAGCTGAAAATGTACTACCAGGTTCTAGAGAGGACAATGTGTAATTGAAAGCCTGCTGCAATGCTTAAAAACAGCCAGCCTTTCCTCTCGACGTCAGAGCGCTTGAGAAGTCCTTTAACAACATACTGCATCCCCCTAGATGACTTAGGTGGAAGATCAAAGTCCCCAAGGCTACGGTTGTTTGGGAAACTTCTCTAATAAACCCAGAATTGGATCTTGGGAGCTTAATCCTCTATATTTCAAGCACTGCTTCACCACCACAATTGAGTCTGACACAACATCACAGAACACGATGCAATTCTGGTGCATTACAGGAACACTCCCTGACAATGACTCTATTACGATCTTTTTCTGGGGAAGTTTATCTCCTTTTGGAGGCTAACATCCTTGGGAGAAGAAAAGCTAAAGAAAGCCAAACTCACCTTATCTGTTTTCGTCTCACAGTCCACTGGCAACAATTTCACTGAGACCAAGAAAAGAAACACAAAGGAAATTAAAAAATGTAGACTGACAAAGGAATAAAAGATCCTTCTCAAAATGGGAAGTCAAACACGACTGACACTTGGGTAGGATCTGAAAAGATGCCATCTAAATTAAGTACTTCAAAAACTGCAGGCAGCATGGGGCCTTAAAAGCTTGCAAGGGGCCATCCATGGCACAATAGCTGGTATCTGTTCACCTGGAGCAGCAGCGGAAAGACAATCAGGACCAGGAGGAGGAGGAAATAGAATGCGTGACTACTAGCCTCCATAAGCCACTTTCTCCTTGGCCATGAGACCAGAAGAACTGGATAGTACCCAGCTATTACTGAACACCTTGATCAGAGATTCCACAAAAGAATTCTGACCAAAAGGGGGGAAATACAAAACAGAATTTCAAATTCTCATGGATTCTAGATATTCTGGAGCCATGGAGGATGGACTAATCTCTGAAACTATTGCCCTGAGATCATTAAACCTTAAACTAAAAATGGCCCCAATCAATAGTTTAACTAGTAAAGAAGGTCTGCCTTGAACATTCTGCTTTTTTTTAAAAGAACTATCTATACAAGGTACTCTGGTAGTGTAGTGGTTACGAATCAGGCTGCGAACCTTAAGGTCAGCGGTTCGAAACTACCAGCTGCTCCACGGGAGAAAGATGAGGCTGTCTGTGCCCATAAAGATTTACAGTCTTGGAAAACCGAAGAAGCAGTTCCTCTGTGTCCTCTGGGGTCACTGTGAATTGGAGTCAACTCAGTGGCTGTGGCAGGGGTGGGGAGGTGGGGTTGGAGGCTGCGGGGTGGGCTGCGGGGGAGGGAGTGCTAGAAAGAGTGGAATGAACTGACATGGTGGAACTCAGTAGGGTGAGGAGGAGTCTGGGACCCAGGGTCTCCTAACCTCATGCATTACAGAGTCCTCTGTCTTTGCCTCTTTCACTCCCACCTGCCCCCCTGTAGCCCTCTCTCTCCATTTGATAACTGATGCCTTGGCAGCATTTCCCCAGAACCTGCCACTGTACTTGGACTGATGATGTGCATGGGAAATGCATGTGACCATGCAGCAAATCAGGGCTGGGGATTCCTCAGGAGCATGTTGTGGTTGTTGCGTGCTGTCAAATCTCTTCCAACTCATAGTGACCCTGTATAGGGTTTCTGAGGACCAGCTGGTGAGCTTGAACTGCTGACCTTGCCATTCAAACTAACCTTGCAGTTCAGTGCATTAGCCCACAGCACCATACCAGACTCCTTGGGATCAGGAGCACCCTAAAATGAAAGTTCTTATTAAGTATTGGAGTCTTGTTCTGGTAACTCCTTCTTATGGCTAAGCCCTCACTGTGGTTGGGGTAGGTGGGAATACAGAAAGGCCGCTGTGTCTTAATTGTTGGTAACCTATGGATAGAGGGAGCTGCAGTTCCTATATGGCCCCAGTTTATAAATAAATGAACATTCATTAAAGTTAAATTAAATTGGAATGAAATTTCCCATCCGATTTTTGTTTAGAAGGCAGAAATAAGTGGGTTGGCTGGGTGATGGTGCTGCAGATACTGGCGCATGTAGTCACAAGGTGATAATAATAATAGTAATTTGCTCTTGGCCGGTGCCTCTGTCCCCAGCTCTCCAGGCAGATATTACCACCTAGCTTTTGCAAAGGCTCATTGAGGTTAAAGGGCTGGTTGGAAGTTACTCAGCAAGGGGTTGGTGCCGAGGTCTTAAAATCTTCTGGCCCATTAGACCTCAAGCTCATCAGTAGATAGAAAATGGACCAGGCTGCAGGAGACCTGAATTCCAGTCCTTGCCCTCCCTCTGACTTAGTGGACCTCAGTTTTCTCACCTATCATGGAATGGCTGGAGCAGATCTTCCAATTCAATGGGTCCAAAGTTGTATGTCAAAGGACCCTGGTGGTACAGCGGTTAAGTGCTCGGCTGGCAACCTAAATAAAGGCTGACAGTTGAACCACTTCAACTTTTGTAAAGACTATAGTTAAGGAGCTCTGGTAGCATAGTGGTTACGAATCGGGCTGCGAACCTAAAGGTCAGCG